CGGGGTGACCCGAATCTTTGTAAGAAGTTTTTAAGACCGTTCACTCCAAAAAATGTACCTCGTCCCCCCCGATTATTCCAATGCACTAAGTCGCTTCATAAACCGCTATTTATGATCTCTTGTATTTCGCGGGCCAGGCGCAGCAAACGCACTCACATTGGGTGTCAAAGATTCCACCGTTTTTTATGATTTCGCAGTCGAATGTAAAATGTAAAGCAATTCCAGGCTACGATTTCCAAAACCCGCTTCAGCCCGGCGATAATATTCCAGGCAAAGCACCCGCAGAGATCACAGTTACATTTATATACACCGAGCGGCCGGACTATTATATACACCGAGTGGCCAGATTATTATGACCCCCCCCATCAGTACTTGGTTGGTATGAAGGGGGAGGTTCTCTTGTTTATTTTTTCGGGTACCTTGCAGCACTTTGCCCCGTCTACTCATTGTATAAATATATATATATATACACATCTATATACCTAGAAAGATAGAGATTAGGGACACACAGATGTGGTTGTGTAAACACATATTTATTGATATATACGCACACATATATGCACATGTGTATGAAGACGATACCATTATTCTGTAAAGGATGTACATGATCGGCGCGGCACTATTTCTGAACGGGAAGATTTGGCGGACCCGGCGCGGACCCCATTACTGTACCCAAAAAATGCCCTTGCCGGATTCTGCTACTTGTGTTGGTAGTGAAACGGTTCTGCTACTAATGGTAGCGGTGAAAAAATAGTTGGGACTGTCCCGAACTCCAGTGCTCTGAGGAGGGACAAATCTATGTGTGGGCAGCGGGTGGGGGCGGAGTGAAGCTTCCTAGCGGTACGGACTGGGGTGTCCCACCTGTGTATACATGAAACAAAAAAAGGAGGAAAGGAAGCGCCACCACCGGGGGAAGGAATGGTGATTGGTTAAGGAAGCCTCATATATTGTGGGAGCGATCCGGCAGGCTTGGCGCTGATGTGGAAGCGATCCGGTGTGGTCCTTCTTGGTTTGGGGGGAGGGGGGGGGTCATCGGGAACACAAGTGGAGAATAATGGAGAGGTGAGAAATCACGCACAATGGATGGAAGGTGCGGCGTGTAGAGACTCGCCGCTAGGTAAGGGGAAGATGCGATGTCGTCGGCGTTGAGGTGGTGGAGATCCCGAAGACCTCTGTAGTCAGATGAGTTGTGCTGGAAAAGCTTCTCTCAAGCCCATCACAACTCATCTGACCACAGAGGTCTTCAGTATCTCCACCATCACAACGCCGAGCACATAGCATCTTCCCTTACCTAACGGTGAGTCTCTACACGCCGCACCTTGCGTCCACTGTTGCGTGATTTCTCACCTCTCCATTATTCTCCACTTGTGTTCCCGCTGACCCCCCACCACCTAAACCAGGAAGGACCACACCCGATCGCTTCCACGTCACCGCCAAGCCTGCTGAATCGCTCCCGAGGTTTCCTTAACCGAACACTCACCATTTCTTCCCCCGGTGGTGGCTTTCTTGTTTCATGTAATAATGGTTGCCGGGGATGCCGACTCGGTCAGGAATTTCCCATACGAGATGTTTGAAGCCCTTTAGTAGACCAAGTCAAATGAAGTGGCCCCCTTACTGTACCCCAAATAGCATAGCGGTCTTCCATTGTGTTAGTGGTAATTGTCGGCCCTCAACCAATGACCTTCTCTTGCATGATCTACCCCCCCCCCCCTATAGGAAGAATTGTGATTGGCGCATGGCATGCGACTACGTTCGGCTGATCCACGAGGTTGGGTTTTGTTTAAACTTAAAGTGTCCGATTATTCGGTAATAGCCTTAAAGTTGTTTCCGTGAATAATGTCGCAGAGACGTAATATTATAACCATCAGATGTGTACAGATAATATTCGCTATATTTTTGACTCCAATGAGATGAACCAATTAGCTGATTTCAGATAAATTATTGTCATTCCTCCAGTGAGAATATATTATTTTTTGGATACAGTTTTCAGCGCCGCGTTGTTGCAAATGTTGGTGAATCGTTTTTTATGATAATTCAGCCAAATCCCCACAACTGCATTTCACAACCAAAGCCTACTTCCGACCAACCCGGGGAAGAGTTCAGCTTTCTGTCAGGTTATCATTTCTGTCACCCCAAGGGGGAGATTTTCTCTCACTTCCTGTCAGTTTGACAACCTTATGGGGGAGGGAGGGGGGGGTCCTGGAATGTATACATAGCAATAAAAACATAGTCAGCGGTTCTAACCACTCCAGATCCTCCCTGGAAATGGTGCATGCTAACGTATTGGAGGGATTT